CCAAAATCACCAAGAGACCCATTCCAATACAAAAGCAAAGAGTCTTTTATTATTAATGAGCTAACTGCATTAACTTGTCCAACATGGTGGCTAGCATAAGAAGAACCCCAAGGGACTGCGAGGAGGGGAACTTATTGGGTAGGGCAAGTCGAGTGTCTAGGGGTACCCAACAGTCTCAGGACTGATGCACTTCCAGGCTTAGATGGCCTGTCCTGTGTTGATTGGTCAACTGGTTGTTATGGCATATAGGCCCGCCCAGGGGAGTTGCTATGCTCTACACATCGCTGTTATACCACTTTTTCCATAAAGCAAATCAGCTAACTTCTGATTGGTTCCTTGCCACGGGGATATCTGATCTCCTAGTGACTGGGAGGAGGAGCAAATTCAGGCAGGCACAGCAGCCTGTCATGGCTGCTAAAGCAGGAGGCTGGCATCATTTTGCCTTAATGTCAAGTGCTCTTAGGGAATATCTGCTTAGGTTTAGTTGACTGCCTCTCTAAAAATATCTTAAAAGGAGGATGTTAGTGCAGAAGCATATAGAATGGGCAGTTATATTTAATGTGTGTTCATTCACAAGAATAAATTTTAAAATAAGAGTACTTCACATCTCCAGGTCAATAAAAGGTTTACCTCAACAATATGCATGCGTTTGTATCCTTAAACATTCTTCATTCTCTCTCAAACCCAGTCAAATTAGCACACACACATTCTGGACGTTTTACCCGATGACTTCCCCTTACCGTGTTTGGAAGTGTTGAAGTCAGATAGTGAAAGGAATTCAGTTTTTATTGCAAAACAGAGAGCAGTATGCAAATACCTGCATACAATACGTTTGAGAGGAAAAGACTGGTTGCTTTTAGAAGGTTAGCAGGTCTAGTAAATTGTGAACATATTTCTCCTCCGTTTCTTAGTGTTACTAGCTCTTCCTCCTCCCGCTGGCAAGTTTCTCTTTCTCTCATTTTCATCATCCCCAGCACCTTTTCTCTTCCTTGTTACTAAAATCATGGCTGCCTTCAAGGGAGGCCTTCTTTAATGCCTCCATGTGTTGTGTCATCAACTGTCTTAATTAAAATCAATGTTTTTGTGAATGTATTAAACTGACACAGAAACTGCAGGTGGTTTGAGAGGCTTTGTAATATTTCAATATATGGATCTTCACTGTCCACCATAGGTTCATGTGATCTAAACAAGACCTGAAGAGTTCCGACATAAACTAATATCCCAACACAGATGGGGGAAATCTCACTGGGCTGTACCCATAGGCAAAGAGCTACAAGATATTAAGCTGTAGAGAGAGGAAGAATTAGTCTTCTCCATGACTGGTTATCCAAAATCAAGTGGTCAGCCTTAGAAATACATACATGCAGGCAACACTGAACAAACTCAGCAGGTTGTATTTAAATGGTGACACATATACATGAATATATGCATACACACATATGTAAGTATGTAATAAAATTATTAATTGTAGTATGAATAATATAAACCCAGAGACAGATATTGGACTTCAAGCTGAAGATCAGAAAAGCAAAGCAGCCAAGCCACCAGAGAGCTCTTACTTCTATCAAGGCTAGAACTATCCCAACCTCAATGTGCCTGGAGACTAATTGTCCCAATCTGAGATCCTGATCATATCTTATGTATCTCTTTAGTGCTAGGATTAAAGGTGTGAGCTCTGTTTCTCTTTTAGACTGATCCAATCTCATCTCATGTAGCCCTAAGTGGCCTTGAACTCACAGAGATCTATCTGCCACTGTCTCCTGAGTCCTGGGATTAAAGATATATGCCACTACTGCCCAGCTTCTACAGCTGTGACTAGCTTTGCATCATGATCTTCAGTGGCTTTATTAGATCATAAAAATAACACCACAATTAATAATGAGGAAGCCATGTGAAGGGAGGGTGGACATAGACGGGGTAGGAGGGAGGAGAGGCAATGGGTAAATGATGTAATTGCATTTTCATATTGAAATGATTTTCATACAATATTTTCTGGTCACACTTTCCTCCCCCATTCCTCCAAGATCCTCCCCGAGCTACTCAGCCACCCAACCCCAAGTCCTGCCTCCTCTCTCTTTAAATACAAATATAGAAAGACAAAAACAGAAAACAAACTATACAAGCAAAGGAACAATATGATTTTTTAAATTCCCAAACAAAGCACCCTGAGGAAAAAAGGTCTACAAAAATCCCTTTGCATTCACTTCATGTTGGCCAACTATTCCTAGATATGGGGACTACCCTGAAACATGGTTAATATACTCAGTGAAACTCCATTGAAAAAAAACTAATTTTCCATTGAAACAGGTGTCAACTGCAGACAGTTAAGAGGTGGGAGCCCAGGTCCACTTCATTCTCTCTGTGCTGGGACCCATCTGGCTTGAACCTGTTCAGACCCTGTGCATGCTCCATGGTCAATGTGAGTCCGTGTGTGCATCAGTCCTGTTGTGTCTGGAAGACACAGCTTCCTTGGAGTCATCCATGCCCTCTGGCTCTCAAAACCGTTCTGCTTCCTCTTAAAACACAGCTCCCTGAGCCCTGATGGGAAGTTTGATGAAGACATCCCACTTAGGACTGACAAATCAAAGTCTCTCGCTCTCTGCACACTGTCCAGCTGTGAGTCTCTGAGTCAGATTCCCATATACTGCCACATGTAGATTATCTGAGGAGTGTGGCACTGATCTACGGGTAGAGTGGACTGTCGTTAGTCATCATTTTATTGCTTTGTTGTTCCATCAGCAGAACAATAGTATTTAGCTTTCCCCTAAGCCATGGTTTCTCCAGTGTTAGGCTCTTGGCCACTCTGGCATTATCAGACACAGGTTCCATCCCATGGAATGCTGCTTTAAATCCAGTCAGGGAGTGGTTGGTTGTTCCCACAACATTTGTGCCACTTACTGCACCAGAGTATCTCTCAGGAAGATCTCTATTACAGGGCATGGGATTTGTAGTTGAGTCGATTAACCTTCTATCTGACAGCAAGAAGAGTACCCTCCAGTACCACGAAGAGGGTGAAGTCACTAGGGGCGAAACTTCTTGTTGTACACCAGCTTAACTTTCCTGTGGTCAGTGGGATATAAAAATGTTGTCTTCAGCAATAGGATCTTACCATCCGTCTTAGAAGCAGGACGCTATTCTAATTCATTCCCTTCACGTTCTTCTGAGTCCTTGTGCAACCATCTGAGAACAAGTCATTATTGTGTTTGAAAATTCATTATGAAAAACGTGTGGACGAGGAGGAGATGCTCGGTGATTAAGAACACGTGGTTGGTCTTGAGAAGACCTGGATTCAGTTGCCAGGACCTGAATGGCGATGCCTCCATACTGCCTGTAACTTCAGTTCTCATAGATCCAACCCCCTCTTCTGATGCATGTAGTCTGTATGCGTACATCTAGGCAAATCACTCCATTCCCGTAAAATAAATAAATCTTAGAAAACATGTGAGTAAAGGTGTGCATCTTCACTTCAGTAAAATAAAACAAAAGCATTAGTGGGGGAGGAAAGCCATCTGTTTGCTTTCCCCATAAACAGAGGGCATGGTTAATGAAAACCAAAACCATGGCTCTCCTGTGTAAACAGGACATACAGAGATGCAAGCACCTGCTTCAGTAAGATGTGTAAACAAGAAAATATATAGCAGCAGCACCTGCTCCGGTAAGAGTCTCTATTATAAAGTAATTCTGATCAGGGTGGCCAGTGTGGCAGGAGATGTACACAGTCCCAACACTAGGGGGGCTGGTGAGTTAGAGGTCAGCCTGAGCTATGCACAGTGAGACCATGTCTCAAGAAATGAAGAAATAAGCTACTGGCTTTGTGAGTCCCACAGAACTGGTCTCAGACTCATACTCCACATTTGATTAGCACTGCAACTTTGGGTAAGTTAATTAATGTCAATAATTCTTAGTCTCCAAATATAACAATCAACAATAGTCATAGTAATATTTGCCACTTATTGGATATTTGGATGGATAAATGGGGCGGGCATGAGAACACTTAGCACCTGTTTTATGCATATGTAGACAGCAAAATCAAACTGCTGAATTATTGAAAGTATAAGCCTACCCTACCTACTAGAAAACTAATGTGCATAGAATGAATCTGTTGCCTTCTTTAATAAAAACCAAGAGGCAAAAATATAAATTTATTTTTCATTTCTTATAAATTTTTTCTTACAGTTGAATACAGCTAGCTTTACTTTCTGAGTATGACATTTGATTAGGAAGTTATATGCTTCCCAGAATCCCACAAATATTTACTGAACACCTAGGATAAACTATAAATAGAGTTGTGGGAGAGGTAAGTAGGGCTCTTGATCTCCTGGAGTTTAGACTGGAGTCACCACCGCAGCAGAACAGAGCAGAGACGCAGACAGACAACAAATGCTAAGAAAGTACGTAATATCCATTCACGAAGTGATGGAAGCCAAAAGGACAAGAATGACAGCAATGCTCAGGAGCCATGGGGTTGCTCCCTTGGTGTGGCTGCAGCAGAAGGCCACCATTTCTAATTTAAATGGAGACAGAGATGACAAAGGGCCATTATCTAGAGCTGGCCCCAAAGGCCGGTGCGAACAATCTACCATCTCCCTACACAGGTGGACCAGATGCCAAATTGACACACCAAGAAGCCAGTGTGTGCTAGGACAAGTAAAACTATTCAAACCAGTTCTTTACTGTTTCATCTGTTTTCTCCTTGTAACATATATTCACCACTTACTATTTAATAAGTGTATTTAGTTATCCATTTGAGAATGTTCACTGCCACCCATGTTAACAATTAAACGAAATGCACAAGTCGGAGGTAGGGAGGGGACTGTTCCAGGCACACATCAGAGGCAAGAAGGGACTGTGCCTGGTTGCATGGCAGAGGCAGGTGGGTACAGTGCCTGTTTTTGTTGTTTGTTTGCTGAGACTGGAAAATATTGTCCGTGGAGGGTTAAGGATCTTATGCTAGAACTGTTAATTCTCTATCTGGGTAACAAGTTTTTGTCTATTTCTAGCCTCAAGAATGGAGGTGGGGAGAGGAGTGGAAAAACTGGAGAAGACAGAACGATGATGTACTTGACCCACCAGCAAGCAAAGCATTCAGCAGCCCAGGCCTGAAGTCTCTGCAGGGTCCCTGAGCAAAGCATTTGCTTTACCGGTTGGTTCTAAGAACTCCTCTGCTGACTCAGCTCCTGGAATGTAAATATCACAGAAATGATGGGGGGGAAAAACAGCTAATTTGAAACTGTGGCTAGAGATCTAAAAGAAAAAAATGCTTCCTACCGACACTTTCATGTTCAGAACCTTTTGATTAAAAATCACCTTATCAGACATGAAGTCTTCTGACTAGATTTGAAACCAATGGAAAAGTAATAATAATACCTTCCTTTCGTATCACTGTGCTTATTACAGTTCCCTATCTTCCACGACAGCCGTCCTACCTCATACTAGCAGAAAGCATTAATAATGATTTTAATTATATAAACATAAATACATCTCGAGTAAAATAGCAATAAATTAAGAAGTGCCACATGGGCTCCCAGGGCTTTCAGTTTAAGCCCCCCATTGTTTATTCAATGGAAGGAAGGTTTTGGTTTGGGCTTATTGGTGACACACAGGACATCTTTTGCTCGCTGTCAGAGTTTGAGTTTAATCCTATACTCTCTGAATATCCAGTCTATTTCCCCACCCCCAGCCTTTTAATAATACTGTTTCCTGTTGAATGTAAAGTCTGGACTGCAAGGCAGGAAATCCTTTGTGTGATCAGTATAGTGACAATTTCAAGTAAAAAAGTGGTCAAGACCAGGCTGGAGAAACTCACAGAAACAGCTGACCTAAGCAAGGGGTTGCTCATGGACCCCAGACTGATAGCTGGGAAACCAGCATAGGACTGACCGAGGATGTCAGTTTGGGGGTCTGGTTAATCTGTGGGGCCTCTGGTAGTGGATCAGTATTTATCCCTAGTATAAGAATGGACTTTGGGAGCCCACTCCACTTAGAGGGATACTCTCTCAGCCTAGACACACGGGGAAAGAGGGGTGCTAGGCCCTATTCCAAATGATATGACAGACTTTGAAGATCCCCCATGGAAGGCCTGACCCTCCCTGGGGAGCAGAAAGGGGATGGAATGGGGATCAGCAGGGGGCAGGCGAGGAGGGGAGGGAGAGGGAACTAGGATTGCCAAGTAAAAGATGTTTGTTTTTAACTAAAATTAAAAATAGGGGGGGGTGGACCAACATTGAGGACATCTGAAATTCACTACAAACAGTGTTAGTGTTGTAGTGTGAATGTTACTACATCCATTCTGAAGCACAAGATAGAAACATGATTATTAAAAGTGATTTTTTAACCTGGATAATTACATGTTTCAAAGCTCATCTGAGAAGGGTTAAGAGAATCAGGCATCTACCTTTCAAGAGACCTTTAAATTAGTACAGTAGTGGTTTGAAATTCCATCACAATTAAAGGTAAAATGTATTTTAAAACATGAAAGTCTAACGAAGAGGAGCTCATGATGAAAACATAAAGGAAATCCATGGCTATTACAATAAACGCACAGCACTGAACCATGTAAGAATAAATTATATCCCTGGGAGTACATGTGGAATATTAAGTAGTTTTACAAGTCTTTTTTCTTTCTTTCTTTTTTTTTTTTGTAATACATAGATGATGTCGTTTCATCTTCCCTTGGTCTGATATAAGCAAGTACACACTTTTTAAAAGCAGACAATTCCAGAGCATTAAAGCTAGGCCAGGCTGAGCTTAAGGAGGACTTGTTTAACAACCAACAGTGTTTTGCTTGGTACCCAAAAATGTACTTATCAAAAGAGAACATGAACTCACCCTGGGGACCAGTAGGCCTGTGGGGGAGGAGTGGAGTTTAGGGGGAGTGAATAGGACCCAGCTATCTATATTTCACTCAGCCTTTGCCTTCTGCAGAAGACAATTTCAGCTATGGATAGTGGTGATACTGATGTTTTTCATAAATATCCATTCCTACATTTGTTTCTTTCTAAGTAGCATGGATTTATTTTTGATATTGATGCGATTTGCTTTATAGAGTTTACTAGCAAACATAAATGCTCTAACGCCTTTTTCTAGAAGGTTTTTTTTTTTTGTCTCTCTTTTCTCTAGACAGTCTCAGGGAAATTACTAGTGCTAAAAACCGGGAAACAATGGCAAGAAGACACGTGCTAATTAAAATGGTACTTGATGCAGAAAAGGAGCTAGTGGAGTTATTCCACCAGCCTTTGCAGGAGCTAGGTGGAAGAGGCATCCTAAGCCCTATTTCAGTGAATAGTGCTTTTTTGTTGTTATTTTGTTTTGTTTTTTGTTTTACGAGACAGGGTTTCTCTGTATTGTTTTGGAGGCTGTCGGTCCAGCCCGGCCTCGAACTCACAGAGATCTGCCTGCCTCTGCCTCCCGAGTGCTGGATTAAAGGTGTGCGCCCACTCTCTGTTCCGTGACACAGCCTTCCTTTAGATCAGAACAGGAGAAATGTAAAGATACTGTCTTTTTTCACTGGTCTGAACAGTACAGAGAATAGAGCCAGGAAATGTGACCTTGAGCACTCTGTCTAACCAGCCGTATTTGGATTATTTGTCCAAATCAACAAATTCTGTGGCGTGTGCAGCAGCATACACTGAATGCAAACAGTGGCTCATGCACGTAGACTAAGGCTCTCAGTCAGCAGGGCCTCTTCCTTCTCCTTGCTTCCTGGCTGCTGTCAGCATCGCTCTGTGTTCTCATCTCCTTTATGCTCTTTCTCCCTTTGAAAATCACTATGATTCATGCCATTCAGTCTCATATGTGTGTATATCTCAATTTCCCCTCCTTTGCTACTTTGGGTTTCCTACTGTGGGTTTAGGGTTACCTGTCTGATCTGAGTGCATTACGAAACAGGGATTCCCGTTAGGAGAGCAGGTCAATTGTGAGCTAGTTGTTTTCCAGTGGTCTCATCGGGTAAAAGCGCCTAGAATGTGGGACACGTTCCTCACCCTTGCGCTCCGCAGTGTTCATGGTAGGAAAGCCACACCACAACTGGCCTGTTAACATGCTCTCCCAGGCACCTTTTCTAATTAGAACTCTGAGGAGCTGTCTACGGATAAAAATGTAACCCAAGATGTATGCAGAGTCAGGTCTCAGGGGACGTTCTCTGGAGCTCCCTATTCCAGCGAAAGCTCCAAGCCCCCTTTACTAAGTTCTGTCTAGAGCCTAACTCTTTTCATGAGAACTCCAGTTTTGAGCCAATATAATTCCCCTCTAGGAAAATTAAAACCTAAAGAAAACCTTCAGCCGGGCGTTGGTGGCGCACGCCTTTAATCCCAGCACTAGGGAGGCAGAGGCAGGCGGATCTCTGTGAGTTCGAGGCCAGCCTGGTCTACAAAGTGAGTTCCAGGACAGCCTCCAAAGCCACAGAGAAACCCTGTCTCGAAAAACCAAAAAAAAAAAAAAAAAACCTTCAGGAAAGACTGCCTGCCACCCTAGCACCTAGAAAAGGGTTGTGATTGTGGTGGAGCTGGGGTCTTCAGCCAGTCAGGAGGAAGTGTTCCATGGAGTGCCAGCATTTGACAGCACACACGATAAAGACATGAAGCTATTACTCAGCAGCTGCTTGAGGCACTGATGAGCAAGTGAGTGAGATGAATGCATAGTTTCAGAAGTTGAGCAATAGTTTAGAGGCAGTTGCATTTTTCCTTTAGCAGAAAATGCTTTCACGACACTCCCAGAGGACAGAGTGCCACTGTGATGTGAGTTCCACTGATGGACCATTTCCCTGCCCTGTGTGCTCTGCTGGCTTCCCCTCTCTAGTTTCCCGTGTCCCTCTCACTTGACACCAGTTATGGGTTACTGCCGTACCTAAGTCTCTCGACAAAGTTTTAGCACCATCTACAAATTCCACTGTAAGCAGTCAGTTCGCCAGAATGACACTGCCAAAAAGAGGAATGTCACCTTCTCTGTCTCAGATTCTGTGGTAGCATGAATTGTGGAAATTTGTCCTTCTCCTGAGAACTCGGCCCTAGGCCATCCTGTGGTGATATACTACTTGTGATTTAATAAATATTTCCTGAAGTATCAGAATGCAAAAGCCAGCCTCACTAGTTAGCTATAGAAGCTAGATGGTGGTGGCACATACCTTTAGTTCCAGAACTCAGGATGGATCTCTGTGACTTCAAGGCCATCCAGGGTTACAGGAGAGTGAATCAGTCTAAAAGAGTAACAGAGCTCACGCCTTTAATCCCAGCCCTAGAGAGGTATATAAAAGACAGTTGCCCAGTGTCTCAGGCTGCATTCTGAGATTTAGTCTCCAGCCATGTTGAGGAGAGGCAGCACTCTGAGGCTTTGTGGAGAGCTTGCTGAGACAGAATCAACCCTTTAAATCTGAGGTAGAGGTAATAGGTAGTGGCTGGCCGCTTTGTTTCTCTGATCTTCAGCTTGAAGCTTGAAGGCCAATATCAGCTTGTTACACCAGCCCATTCAGCTCTTCTAACCAAAACATTTCCAAGGTATTTCCCTTTGACACACATCACACCCAGGAACATTAGCAAACAATAATGGAGATTTTTAAGCAAAACATCCACAGCAGAATTTAAAACACAAGGTTTATTTCTGCACTTATCCTGTTGCTTGTCAATAAATATTACACTTATATCCATTTTTCCTTCTTTAGATTTTAGTTTATGAATGCAGCTGTCAGAATTACTAAATAGGTATAATTAAATGGTTCAAGATATTTAGTATATGCATACAGAATCATATTTTGACACCTTCATTTTTGGATCTATTAAAATGAATACATTATTCAATAATGTGAATTTCATATTATAAATATGTTATCATGTAAATATAATTGGTTTTTTGTTTGGGAGCAAAAATAACATTGTAATAACCCTTCCCATTTTCATATAATATATTATACTGAGTTATGGCTCATTGACACTCATAATGAGGAGTCAATTACATTAATTATAATTTCTTCCTCATATGTTTCCAAGTGGAAATTAAATTTGCCTCTCATTATAGATTGTACTAAATCAGTAGATTTTTATTTGTATACTATCTTTGTGAACTTAGTATCCTAAGGTTTCTGTAGAAAATATTAAACTATGAACTGTATTCCTATAAACAAAATAATTTGGAATGTTTTGGTTATTTAATAGTCTAAGCAAAGATTAGGTTTGGGAAAGCTGAGGAAAAATATATGAGTCATGAGAAGTTTGACAATAGTAAAATATTTCTTAACATGCAACCACAAAAATTAACTCAAAACCAAACCATAGTGAATCTGAGGTGTCTCTGACAGCTCTAGCTCTCACCTGTCATATTGCAAG